CAGGAGTATTATTCTTGGGAAGATTACTTTGCAGGTGAGAGTATTTGGGTTTCCTAAAGAAACAGCCAACTCTCAACCACATCATTTTAAAGTGAAGCCCATAGTTAGCAAATTCCACCAAAAAATACTTTTTAGTGCATGTTAGTGGAGAGTCAAGAATCACCAGACATTTGAAGAAAATCACAAATTCAAATTGACAATGGGACACTCATTAGCAGGATGACTTTAGAAAAGATAGTTAAATTCTTCTGGTATCAGTTTCTCTATCTATAAAATGGGGTGCTAACACCCACCTCAATCCATGGTATAGTCTGCCTGAAAGAGAAGGGGAAAGAGGGAGAGAGGAGACAGCAAACAAACTAGTATTCTAGTAAATTCAATCTTCTGCTCTCGTCCAGAATTGATACAACTGAGTGTCATAAGTAACTTGATTCAGTTAATGGCTCATATTGGGTCTTTCCCCTCCTCCAGAAACCGACACTAAGACAAGAATGTGAAAGTTAGTAGTCCGAGAGGTGGTTCCAGGAACTAGCAATAGGGAAATAGGGAAGTGCAAGAACATTTCTCAGCATTATTCCAACTATGGGATGAAGAAGCAGAGGTAAGTATCTACCAACTCCCATATGTCATTGATTGAGAACTGCTTCTAAGGAGCCATTAAAAGCTTGAGTACTTCTAATGTGCCCCCTCTCATCCTCAAAGCAAGCTCTGGCAACCAGAAAATGCTCTTGGGGAAAAATCAGTATTGGTTATCTTATTTAATTGTAACTGGTTGATTATATTATTTTGAGTTCTTCAAACTTAATCCCAATGAAATTAAATCATGAAACTGGAACATTGTAAGAGTCCTTTGAACAAAGGAAAACAGATATGAATAAAGCCTCCATATTGTGAAAGTTAGAAATTATAGACTTCAATTTCTTAGGTTAGCTTCAGTTATAAAATATAAGTTAAAATTTTATTCAATGTTTGGAGAATTTAAATACTGTGCTGAAAGTGTCTTCTCAGAAAGATAAGGAAAAGTTGTTTAGAGACTATTTAAATTCCTATGAGCACAAAACTACCAAGAACAAAGAGCATTTTTGGAGATTAGCCGGGTAGGGCAAAGGTCTTTAAAATTAAACTATATATGCTTTGATCCTTGTTACTGTAGTTAAAAATTCTAATGAACTTTTGTCATTCTTTTGGCTGCCCAGCATCTGAACCCCATTCTATGTTTGGGGAATTTTTGACCTTTTAAGTCTTGATAGGATGCAGAAACAGTCTCCCACTATAAGAATTCAAAGTTCCAGATAATCACTTTTCTAGCTTTCTTTGCAGTCAAGTATGGGCATATGACCAAGCATGAGCCAACTAGAAGTTCCCTTCCCAAAATTTGAACGGGGATCTAGTGATTTATAGAAGCAGGGATGGTAGACAACCATCTGTGAATGCAATGGCAGTTGCAGCAAGATAGTTTCTGGGGGCAATGGTGATGCTATGGTAGCTCTTTTCAGTGATATGTGAGATGACGTTAAGTTGAGGCATCTAGCAATCGGTAACACTGGCAGTGTTATGTGATGTCCTAACTTGGCCAGAACTTTGATGTGGTTTAGGGCTTTACGTCTGGCTGCTTATTCTCCAGCTTCCTCAGAAATTCTGTAAGCAATATTTTTTAATACATCCCAGTGAATACTTCAGTGAGGTAAACCTTCAAAGCTGATTTCAGTTAGCTACAACCAAAAGAGTTCAAAATTCATTACCAGGAAGTAGGGTGTTGTCAGTAGCAAATGCTAAAATGTGGAATTAGCAGTCTCAGACTTCTGAACTTGAATTAACATACTGCTACTCAGCACTGAGGAAATAAATCTTTCAAATGCCTATTTCAGATATGACTATAAAAAAAATAAACTGGGAGATTATTCCAAGAGGCAGAACCAGGGATCATGAAAGACATGATGAAGGGCATTCCCTGAAGAGAATGTAAATAGGGTCAGCCTCATTGACTGACGGGAATTTACTCCTCTCCCGGGCGGGAATCTCACCATCCCTGTGTAGTTTGGATAAGATATGCGTTATGGGGAAGTGACTGGGAGTGGTTTTCTGCTCTTGCCCTTTTCCAGTCAGACTTTATATTGTAGTTTATTGCTGAACCATGAAGAGCAAACACAGTTATGGATCAGAGGAGACAAATGAACATTTGTATGAATTATGTTTCTAGCTTCTGTAAACTTGATGCTTTAACGTCTGCCCTGCATGCATATGCCAGACACACCTGGTTCTGGACAACCCAGTAATATGCCTGAGTTACCTTGCCTTAGCCAACTGCCTCCCTTGTCAACTTCTCCATCCTCCTCCAGGAGGAATCCTCCCTAGGGTGTGATTTTTAAATACAAGTCAATCAATCCAGAGTCTACACCCCAACCACTTCCCTTGTGGGGTTCTCATGCTCTGGGCCACTATATACCCATCCTAAACACCCCAGGGCCAGGTACCAGGCAACTAGGGGAAGCCTTTTTGCCCCACTAAATTATTTAAACTAGCCAATCCTAAACCTGTTCACCTGCCTCACCCATTTCTTCTTGCAGAAACCACAATAAAACCTCTTGCCCAGTTTCCCTTTCCATCTGCCTCATGCGTGACCCAAGTGCTTCTCCATGTAGCCATCTTGGCATGATGTGTACTCTCTTTCTTGGAATTGTGAGTGCAATAAATGATTTGATTGCACTCTTACCATGTCTAAATAATAATAGTATTAAAACTACATTATCCAGCAATTCTGGACTTGGATGTAGTAACCTGATAAGTTACTTCCTCTTAGGGAATACGTGAATAATTTCAATAAAGGCATGAACACCTTTTAAGTATGTAGAGATATTGGGCACTCAAAGTGGTGGACTATAGCAAACATTGTTGGTTTTCCACTCAACATCCATTACTCTCTCCTTTCAGGCAAAACACTAGTTTCATTCAGGTATTCATCTCTCTCTTCACTGACCCAAGGGATCATGACCCTTTTCCTCCTCCAGGATTGAATTCCATTTGGTCTGAGCCAGTCACAGTGGTCTCTTTCCCCTTGTCAGTGAATGATTTAGGCCTGAGCAGGGATCCCAGGTATGGGGAATAGGACATGAGATGTTCTGGGGGGTTCTGGAAAATTTCCCCGACTGAAAAGAGGACACTGGAAGAAGTGGCTCTTTCTTTTGGACACTGCTGTGCTGATAAGAGTTGGAACTGCAGTAGTCATTTTACTCCTAGCAAACCTGAGGAAAAGGCCAATGGCAAGAAGTGTAACAAAAGACTCACCAGATAACGAAGCCAGAACAATAATGTATCATGGTAGTAGTGTACTCTTCCTTTGGACTTCTTGATCTGTGAAATAGTAAATTTTCTTATCATTTAAACCAGTTTGAGTCAGGGTCTTTTGTTACTTGCAGCCCAGAGCATCCCAATGAACTTCCCTGCTTTTACTAAGAGTTAATAAGAAACGAAATGTTCCAAGAGGTATCAGTCTGACTTATCTGAAACTTGTAAATGTGATCTTTTGTCACGTAACTTGCTATAATTTCATTGCTTATGTAAAGCATGATTATTAAATAAAATTTTATTTGTTCACCTATATCATAAATTTTTATTACAGGAAATTGTTTGTTCACTTAAGCTGCATATGAACTCACTGGCCTTTTGTTGATTAATCCTCCACTACAAATCCTGGGTGAGTGTGCTTATCAAGGAGAATCTTCACTAGCTTCCACAGCTGTCAGGAATTAAACTATCTGATAGCAGATCCAACCATTGTACAAAGGTTTATTCCTGCACAATTTGCAAATTTCTCATGTTTGAACCACATCTACTTCTTTGACGCTGACTGTTGACTCATCAGATCACCACTGAAATATTCATGTGCTCTCTTCATTTGGATTTCTGATTCTGGGGCCCACTACCAAAAAACAAAACAAAACAAAACAAAACAAAAAAACCTAGATGCTCTAGATTCTTCTTCCACATTTAGTTCTTTAACTAGTTCGTGGCCAAGCTAAGTCAGGGCTGTTCCTGACAGACAATCCTTGAGGTAGTCTATTACACACATTTATGGGATGCCTCACTGTGCTTGCCTGACAAACCCACACAATCCCTACCTGCAGACCCTTTTCTTTCTAGTAACTATCCACTGCTCTTAAAATCCATCCAGGCTTAAAAAGGCAGCCATCTATTAAATTCAAGCTAATTTTTCACCATATTGCAAAGGCAAACATAGAGTATCTTCAGCTTTGAAATGGGGGGCAGGAAACTTGAAGAAATATGGTTCATTTTAGTTGTTAAAAATGTTTTCATTAACTTTCATCAATCCATGAGAAAGGAGTAAATTGCTTTAAGCCTATTTTACATTAATATCATCAGAATTTGTATGATCAAAATACAAACTCAAATTCCATCCAGATTATATGAGTTGGATAAAAATATATTAACCAAAATATCTAAATATAAATTGTGGTTATATGAATGTGTACATCACTCCGACTCTGTGGAGGACAGGCATCAATAATGTTGGTAATAAAGGAACACTATCCATGTGAAATGAGAATATTCTGGGTCCATTTTATATTTATAAAGTCTGGAGATTGAAGAAGAGATTTCAGGCACTGTCTTTTAAAAATCAGGAGCTGAAAAGCAGTAAGAATAAATTCCTCTTATATCCAGCAACACTGATGAACTTCATATTGTATTGAGGGAAACAAAAGCAGATGCAAAAGAATACAAACTGCATGATTCCATTTATACGTTCAAGAAGGTGGGCATTGGGAAAGAGAGAACCTTATGAGATGCTGAGTATCCTCATCTAGATGATGGTTAAGCGGGTGTTATGTATCAGTCTGTACAGGTTAGATATAATTAATGCTGCCACATCGATGCACTTTACATACTTCACAATATATGTGTGCCCAATCAACCAATAAATTGCTCTTCGGTAAAGCATTAGGTAAACTTTGGTTAAATACTAATAAAACTTACAAATCTATATTGACAGAATTGAAATTTCCTAACAGAAGAAACCATGTCTGTTTCACTTAGCACTGGACACTACCTAACTGGAGAAGAGTTTGAGTCATTCAGCCATGTGACAGTGACAAGATAGAGGTTGGGATACCATATACTAGGAAATGAAGGGCCATGATAGAGTCTAACAAGTCTCTCTTCCCTGTCCTTTGGTGGTGGCAGGGAGTAACACCCTGTTTGAAGTAGGGCACATGGCACACAGTATATGGAGGTTTTGGTCTTTAAGGACTGACATGCTCGTGAAAATGGCCTTTGGTCAGCCCACTTTGGGTAAAAGTCAGAGCCCAGATTTCTGCCCAAGACAAAGCTACTCTGTAGAACAGTACGAAACAGACTGGGGGCTGACTGGGGGCTTTTGGGAGAATTGTCAAGATGAACCCCTCTGGCTGCCATTGGGTTTAAGAGGGACTGTGGAGAGAAGTAACATGTTAATGAAATTTTATTGTTGGCTGAATGATCTGTGTAGTAAAACCTCTTCATTTCCTCTTTGCAAAGTCTGGTAAAATTCATGTTGTTCATTTACAGAACATATTTCTTTGTAGGAAAATGAACATAAATGCTGGGTCCTACTTTTAAGGTGAGCACTGATTGGAATTGTCTTGCTCCTTTTGGGTGGCTGTAGCAGAATACTGTAAACTGGGTGTCTCAAACAGAAATTTCTCACAGTTCAGGAAGCTGGGAAGTCCAAGATCAAGGCACCAGCACATTCAATGGTAAGAGCCTGCTTCCTGGTTCATAGGAGGCCGTCTTGTGTCCTCAAGCAGAAGGGGTAAGGAAGCTCTCTGGGTCTCTTTTACAAGGCACAAAGCCCATTTGGGAGACCTCTTCCTCCCAAAGAACCTGCCTCCATATACCATCACACTGGGGATTAAGTTTCAACATATGATTTTGGGGAGGATGCATTGTTTATACCAGAAGGCCAGACTACATTTGCAGATGGCCAATAACATTACCTTCACTTAGTCTGCCGTGTTTTTAAGAATCCCTGAGGGATGAAGGACACCAGGAGGACACAAAAAGGGCAATGGTACATATCAAATAGGGTAGGCTCCAGGAAGCTCTTGGCCTGGACTGAAGATAGCCCATGTAGTCTAGGAAGCTCTCCTGTGTCATGATAATACAGATGGGATATGTATGAACCTGCCAGCAGGAAGTTAAGAAACAGGGTTTCCTTCTTCATTCCTAATGGAATGTTGAGAACAAACCATAGTTTTCAAGTCCTGGTTCCTCTCTGGATTTATTTGCTAGTCTCTATCCTTTATCAAAATCTTTTTCTTTTCTTTTTCTCCAATTGTTCCAGCCTGGTCTTAGCTGGGCTAGTTCAAGGGAAGAGGAAGTCTTGTTTCGAAGTTGGGCCAGAGAGTGGTAACAAGGCAAGAGCACCTTCTTGTGGCTGAGTAGCAGGTAGCAAGAAACGTTAGCTCCTGGATCTACCCCAGGGGAGAAACGCCAGGAAATGCTTTCTGAAGTATAAGCTTTGGAGTTCTCTTATCATTAAGGTAGGTCGTTTTTTCCTTAGATCATTTCTTTAGCACCACAGGGTTACAGACCATGAGGTCTGAAGTGCAAAGAAAATAGGTTTTTTAAAATCATGAATGTATTTTAGCATGAAGACTACCATATGCAATTTTGTTGTCACTAAAGCCATCAGATGTTAGAGTGGTATTTTTTTTTGCCTTAGTGTATGACAGGAAAACAATTTTTTAATCAATATAGGTCAAATAATCTCTACTAGCATTGTTTACCTGAAAGTGTTGCATAAACAATAGTAAGAGCAAGGACATTTCGTCTGTACTTTCAAATGGGGCTCAATCATTTACAAGTCGTTCACTGGCAGCTTTTTTCACCAAGTCTGTACAGATTATAATCTATTTAATAAAAGATTAGAAACAATGAAGTTAATTGTTTTTCCCTCTCCAGCATTTGCTTTAAGAGAAAAATCTTGAAATTGGTAGGGATTTCTGATGCCAGGGAATCATGAAATGTAAGAGAATATTTAGCAATCAGGGTGGCTTAGCTCATGATAATCAGCATATGGACAATTATAATTTGCATTCCAGTTACTGAAGCTGAGAAAGCCTTGCTCAGGTTGAACATACGGTGAGTAGAAGATCTCTTTTTCTAAGAAATAAGATGGAGAGAGTCTTTGGAGAATGGCTTCACTGAATTGGTAAGTTAGCTTTCTTCGGATTTTGGTGATTTCCCCAGTTCTTCCATAATTCCTCAGTGCTCTGGCCATTTTCTGGTAAGTCATGGTCTTCCGGTTACCTTTTCTTTTCCCCCAAAGTTGGGCAAGTTTTTCTTTGTTTTTTGACACGAACTGAAAGATGCCTTTGGTTTTATCTACCCACTGAATACAAGCTGCCATCTCAGGATTACACAGGGATTCATGAAGGTATTCGAACAGTCGGAGCTTCTTCCTGCCTAAAATTGAGAAAAACAATGTCATACTCCACCATGGCTATGCACAAGGAAACAGCCTCAAGAAGGGTTTGTTGAGTGCCTACTAAATTCAAAGCTGCACTGGGACTTGAAAGTCAGAGGTCTGTTTGGCCTGCCTAACTGAAGTTTCAGTTGGACCTTGCTTTGTTGGGGATGTTGTAAAAATTTTTGTACTGTCCTTCACTGGAAAGGAAAGCCTGGTGCCTTTTTATCCAAGTCTGCCATCTGTCAGGTGGTCTTTCTTCACCATTAAATCTTGAACTACTAGTTCTATGTCGTATGTTAGAACAACAAAACTGAGCAAAATGAACTGCAAAGTTTAGTGGTTTTAAATAAAGAGAGGCCTCAAAAGCCATTTTCAGAAAGCAAATCATTTGAAAGGGCTTTATTCAAATAGTCAAGTCAAATGAGGTAAGGAATGTGAAAGTATTTTATAAAATGCAAAATAGTATTCAAATATAAATATGAGTAAAATTAAGAACAAAGACTTAGGTAAAAAAAAAACTGGTCTACATAGTTATGCAAAAAATAAAGAATAGAAAAAACTGGAGTGGAAATGCCACCTTCATTGCCATCTTCATGACATTTTGACATCATTTATGAGCAATGACAATGGGCATTGTGGTTATTTTTCATTGCTGTGAAATAAAATGGTACCACCAGAGTTTATCTCTTTAGGAATACAGCCCTATATTTCAGAATGTCTAGACAGAAAACTTCAAGAGGATTTGTTGTGATTTTTGTTAAGTTGATTGGATGTCTTTGGCCTAACAAAGAACAAAGGGGACAGCCCATTTTGTGACTTCTGAATTGGCCTGTAAATATGATGCCTTACCAGATCTATCAGTAGCTAACACATTCATGGCCAAATTGCCTTTTCCCATGGAGAGAGTGGAATAGTGGATTCCCAAACTGCTTTGAACAGTCTCTGGGGAGTAATACTCTTGCATCAGTCATCATTCATCCTAAAACCTCAAAGGTTTTTAAGATTATCTTTTTGTGGTTATATTATCTCAAAATTACAAATTGAGAAATGAAAGGGACTTACCAAAAAACACATCATCAATTAAAAGTCACAGCCTTAAATTTTGTCTCTTATCCAGTGGTCAAATCAATGATAATGGATCCTCACCTTTTAAAATTTGTTTTCAGTTTTGAAAAAAAATTTCAATTTTTATTAAAATATGATGTGGGGCTCCTGGGTGGCTTAGTTGTTAAGTATCTGCCTTCGGCTCAGGTCAAGATCCCAGGGTCCTGGGATCGAGCCACACATCGGGCTCCCTGC